TTTCTTAACTGCGGCCTCGCTTTTCTGTGAATACGCTTCAGAATTCATAATGGCAAAGTATCCCTCTTTGTCGGCTGCTAGTACATGCAACTTGTTTTCACAAAAAAAATCAACTAGCGGCCTTAGTGAGTCCATGCCCCCCCCCCCGCGCCTTTCCCGCTCTGGCAATGGTATCAATACAGTCCGAAACACACCTTGAACGTTCATCTTCCTTGGCACACCTTGAGACCGCCCTCGCTGTGGCTACCTTTTCAAAGGGATTCAGGCGGGGCTCGAAGCAGTACTTCGGGTCAAGTCCCAGCACCCTCTCATGTTCCTCCGGTATTGGCGTTGCGCTAAGGTTGACCACATGGCCCTGTACCAAGTTTGCTTTCTTCTTCACCGGAAGCGTCGGACGTACAATGCGCCAGAGGAACTCGATGGTGAATTCGGCCGTGTAGCACCACTGTCTGTACCGGCATGAACCAGGGTAGTGATCCAGATAACTCGAACATGCAATGCGAAGTAGGTCCTTAAGCATCCTAACTTGTCGCCACCATTCAGACTTGAGAATTTTGCAGATCCTTCGCGAATGTCCATCCGAAGGCTTCAGCCAACCGCACAACACCTGCACCTCGACCGGGCAAATTCCTTGTCTGACGTGCCAGGAAGCAACTCTGGCTCTGCACACGCACACGGCAATCATGGCTGCCAGGCAAGCCGGGTCATGAAGGTTCGAGTTAACACATAGAAAAGAGCCCTGAGTACTAGAAAAATTTTTCCAATAAACAACAGTTGTGAGTCAGCGCCGTCTTTTCTTTCTCTTTTGCTCCTTCCCTGTCCTGTATTTTTTCTGGTGTTGCGCTGTAAGTTAGTTCACCATGGATCTCTTTCTGTCTTTTTATCTCTCGCTTTCTCTGCATGTTTCCCTTACTTTCTCTCCTTCATTGTTTCTATCGTTTTTATCTTTTTTCACTCTCTGATAACAATGCAGTAATATGGTTCCGATGAACTATTGTTGTGAAATCGTACCGGAGTAGCCGAGTGGGTACGACGCTCACTTTCAAACCGTGAAAATCTGGGTTTTAATTCCACCTCGCCAAGGTATATTATTTATGTTTATTTATTCTGTATACTCCTTCTTACGTTCGTCTTCCTTTCTATCCACTTTCCCGAGCGCCGTTTTCGCTCAACGCCCGCGTCACTCTTCTACCCGACTCTGTGCCTCATGCAATAGTCCATGTTTTACAAGGGCTCTACTCTCTCCCACTCCAGGCTTCAATGTTCTTCGCCAGTGCTTTCTAACACTCTTATTTTTTCCACTCTCTCCTTGTCATGTCTTTCTTTTTTCTCAAAAATTTGCTACTCTGTAGTGGGTGCTTGCCAAATTCCCGCCCGAGTATTTGCGCGTGATTCAATTAGCCCCTTCAGTAGCGGTAGCAACGTTTATGTACGCAACCTGTTTATTGTAGTGGTGTTAACTTGTAGCGAAAAAAAAGGAGGATACATTTCTGAATATAAGAATTTAACCTTCTGCTTAACCGACGGCTTTGGGATCAAATCCCGGCCACGGCGGCCACATTTTTGCTGGAGATGACAGTGCTTGACGCCCGTGTGCTTAGATTTTGACGTTCGTTAGGAAACACCAGGTGGTCGAAATTTTCGGAGCCCTTCACTACAGAGTCTTTCACAATCATATCAGGGTGGTGGGACGTTAAAACTAACTGAAAACACTTTGCAATGTCAATATGTGCTTGCTCTACCTCAATGTGCTGCGTGTTGCTTTAACCAGCCTCTTTTATAAAGGCACTACGGTGTGTTGCTTTGTAGAACAAAAGTCAAAATAACTCATATTTTTTTCGCGAAATAGTTGCAACCAACAACGAATCACACGTACATTTGAAAGCTGATGATTACACTCTTCTCGCGTCAAAATTGTACGTGACTGAGTGCAGAATGATGAAGTATTTGATTACACGCTAATTGCAAGTAGCGTATAATCACTAATTGTAATTCATTATAACATTCAGTGCCTTAGAATTATGGTATCTTCGTTTGACACACTCTTACAGATAGCGCGTCATAATTCATACCTGAGGGGGATAGAACAGTAACTTAAACAGCTCCTCTATTGAAGAGGAATAAACGTTTATTTTTCGAAACAGTGTAGTGGTGTAGGTTCCGCGTAAAGCACTGACAAAAATAACTTTCTCAGTGCTTTACTTGGCCCAATTTTCTGATGGTTTTGCTATGCGTGTCAAACAAAGAAAAACAAACGAGCCCCTCGACCTATTCGCCATCTTTCGTACATCCTGTAGCAAATATTCCTCCGGCATGTTTTCGATCTCAGGCAGTATAGTTCGGCGTTCAGATCGCAAAGCGCTGCATCTCGTAATATACAAGTTTTTCCTTTTAATTTACTCTTTCTTGTATTTTGTAGATCTGCGCAACCTTCGTTGTTCCCATTCTTTGCATCAAATTGGATGCCTTGGTTTTTTTCTTTCTCGGGACTGCTGGCTGCCCATTTACTCTTTCACCTGCTCTGTACTGAGCTTCCAACTTTATTTTAAATTCTTTATTACGTGTTTATGCTTTTTAGGTCCACGTGTTTGGGCACTCCTCCACTTCATCTTTTTTTTTTATTTTTCATCTATCTAACTTAATCAGCCTTCAGAACTACTATAACGCAGCGATTTTCTGCTTCCAAGGAAAGCCTCACCTATATCAGCTTGTACAACTTCATGTGTATTATCATGTTTTATTAACCACTCCACCGAAAATCCAACCACTGTCCTTCGGTTACCCTCCAACCCCGACAGCCAGAGCAATTTTTAAGTAAAGAACCGCATCTTCGAACATCAGTTCTAGTACAATTACTACTTCCCGAATTCCGTGCAGCTCTATGTTGCTATACGTGTTAGGATAAATAAAATTATGTATACGTTTCTATAAATTTCTTGCATTGTCTACGAGGAAGGCAATGTCGTCCGCATCTGTTTCAACGTTAACGAACTACGTAACGGAAATGAAATCCTATGTGTCACTGCTCTCCGGACGTCGTTGTATGCGTTTAACCCAAATCTAGAGCCACAGCTAAAATGGAGGACATCTTTGTCTTAGTCCTAGGTTTATGTCCACTAATTGCTTACATTTCTGGGCTTCCCAAACAGTTTTTGCGCAGTTTATTACTCCGCCATGCTGGAAGCGCTCTCTCAAAGCAGACTTACTGGAATGAACAATGCTCGCAATCTAGTCATCGTATCGCGCATGTCTGTATACAAACACCGCGACATCAGCTTCATCCTTTCTACTGCTTTTTACAAGCGTCAACGTGCGTCTGCATTCTCTCGTTAAGGCTTATTGGCATCATTCTTGCCACTTTTGCTTGCATTCTCGAAACTTGTACAGGTGGAATTTTGGTGGTTGTGTGATGTTGACAATTATAGCATTACATTCAAGGCTATCTGTAAGGACATCTCTAATATTTTAACAATATATATAGGTAAAATATAGAATGTACAAGTAGAGTGAAATCATAACTTCGTTTCATAGGAGTGCACAAGATGAACACTCCAGGTGCTTCTGACTAATCCAGAGGGAACCACTATGGCATAGGCGGAGAGTTTTTATATTTCCGGAGGGGGCTGTGTAAGAGAGCTAAATACGTTGAAGACCTATATGGTACATAAAACAAAACATTCGATTTCTTGATGCTTACCTCCCGTACTGATTCGCACGACAGCCGTGCAAAGGCCGCAATTTAAGTCGTCCTGCAACTTCTCAATGCGACCATGGCACCTTGCTCCCTACATGTCATTCGCCCATGATCCGAATGTTAAAGGCCTGAAAGCAAAAGGGGCTGGCGTAAACAGTCCCCTGTGAAATACCTGTAAGGCAAGATGTACAACAGTCCATTGACAATTGATGAGACACTAAGCCAAACTATTAAAATTCCAGGCCAGTGCCAGAGGGGTGGCTCTGGCCCCCATGAAGCAGCCCGAAGGAGGCTTTAGCAAACCAGCACCCTGTACTTTCCGTCTACGCACTATGGCATTCCTCATAACTACATTGGGGTTTCGGCACATGAAACTCCCAGATTTGATTACAATAAAGGGCAGGGAAGTTACGAAAAAAAGCACACATTTAGATAACATACATTTGGTTGCGGGAGAGTGGGGTGCGAAGAGCAATTAGAGGAGGAAAGGATAGGTATAACAAAAGGCTGTTCATGTGAAACCCCAGAACACGCCCTTGCAGTACAAAAGTGCTCGTAAAGCCCAGTCACATTCAAGAAGCGTCATAGTGTTTTTTCTAACTTCGACTGTACAAGCTTCCAGGATCCTGTCTTGTTCTTCGAGAGTGGTTTTTCGCAAAAAGAGGTCAATAGTCTAGATTACAAAATCCATCGTAGACTTGAGTGCCAGGGTCTCATCAAAGCTACAGAAGTTGGCTGATCCTATGAATAGGTATTCGTAAATACCACGCCCACCATCACGCGATATAAGTGGAGTTGTTTCTTGGTGAGAGACTGTCGGGATGACAATTGACTGGCAGCGTCAAAGTAGTTTAATTGGTGTCTCATGAAAGCATAGGCTTTCACCTGTGCTCCATTTAGCATTGCCTAAAACGAATGAGTGAATGAATGAATAGACTTTATTTAATGTCCGGCCGTTTTACCGGGCGAGGTGGGGGAAGAGAGGATTAACCCCTGTGCCTTCCCACTCTCCATTGACTATGATGGCGGTGCCTCAGGTGACCGCTCGAAGTCCTTGCATCCTGGTGGCATCTTAAGCTTGCCAACGTTCGTACCACATAGGCTGTTTAAAACGGAAGCAACATCGCACGTCATTATTTCTTTCATTTTTCGTGACTATGTTTCATTCATGACGAACGCGCTGGTATTCTACAGCACGGCGCAAGAATACGAGAAGTATCTGACAAATAAACACATAGCAATGTACTGTTTCACGTTCTATGCATTTCTGTTGCAAGCGGCTACTGATCCGCTTGGTGGTGTGCAGGTGACGGACACGAGCAACGACAGTGTCTGCTACCCTCTCGTGGGCTGCTTTCGCACGCGGGACCCGCTGACGGTGCCGACATCGTTTCCCGATTCGCCAGAGAAACTCAACACGAGCTTCCTGCTCTACTCGCGTCAGAACCGCAACTCGTCGCTGCGCCTCGACTACCGATCACGGGCGAGCATTGAGCGGCTTAACCTGTTCCGCGAGCGCAAGCCGCTCAAGCTGATCGTGCATGGATGGCACGAGAGTGGCGACAGCGAATGGGTGCTCGAAGCCAAAGACTTGCTCCTGAATATCGTAAGTAACGGGCCCGCGGCTGTCACTCTGGTAACACGTCACACAATAAAGCAGAGTAATGAGCACGTAAAATACAACAGGAGAGGAAGCATTACCCGCAGAGCCAAGAATGTTAGAAACAGATCGGCAAATCAGTACCCTCATCTCAAACTGGATGATGCCTCATACCGTGCATGTAATGTACTCAAACTTGCATTCCACTACAGAGTACAATACGACGTGATTGAGAGGGGCAGAAGTCTTCTAAATAAATTTGGCTACATGAGTTCGTTTAGTGCGCTGAATATAGTAATTGTACAAGTGTTTGCGCATTCCGCCGAGACGGAAATGCGGCTGCCACAGAGGCCGAGAATCGAACACGCTCTTAGAAGCACAGTGCTATACGCAATGCACAAGCACAATGCACTGAGTGATGTCAAGAGCGAATGGACGTAATAAGAAAGAACAGATAACTGTGGTAACCAGATTAAACTGTATAGCCCCTTAATTTGACCCGGTACCGGTGATACAAGGTCACCGCTAACATGCCCTGCATGTATGTAGTTAAATATCGTTGCCTGTTCGCCGGTAATTGTAATCATATTGACACACCTCGATGGGCGCATGAAGAGGAAGAGGTGGAAGCGGTCTGGCTCACGAGCAGCTCGGTCGCCGGTTTTCTGGCTCTGAGCTGTACCGATCTCAACCATTTCCTGTAAATAAACGCGTTCCTTCGTCACAGTTGTGGTGGAGGTGCTGGGTAAGCCAGCTACTGTCAAGCGAGACCGGAGAGCAGCCGTCTACTAACGACGGAACCGCAAGAGCACGAGCTTCGCCGCAGCCGTCGACTAGCGGGCTTGCCACCACTACCTCAAGATATGAACTTGGACGGAGACATCCAGCAGCCGGTCGCGAGGGCGCCGTCTTTCCACTACCGAGAGCCACGCACATTTACAGGAAAACCTGGCGATGACGTTGAAGAATGGCTCAGCCACTATCAACGGGTGAGCCGAGCCAATGGCTGGAATGCGGCCAGCCAGTTGTCCCACGTGGGTCTATTTCTCGATGGCAGTGCTTTAGTGTGGTTCGAGAATCACGAAGACACCTTGACAACATGGGACCAGTTTATGGAGGAGATCAAGAAGTGCTTTGGCGACCCTGCGACGAAGAAGAAACGTGCAGAGCAAATGTTGTCGCAGAGAGCTCAAGCTTGTGGTGAGACATGCAGAACCTACATTGAGGAGGTACTGAAACTGTGCAAATGTGTGGACACCAACATGACGGAAGAGGACAAGGTGGGCCACATTCTCAAAGGAATTGCGGAAGACGTCTACCACTTCCTTATCGGCAAGGAGAGTCTTGAGTCTGTGGCCGATGTGATTGGGCACTGCCGAACGTTTGAGGCCCTGAAGACTCGCCGCATCACTACGAAGTTCGGACGCCTTGCCAATGTTACGACCGTCGCCACTGTCGATGTGTGCCAAGACTCCGTGCCTACCGACCTTTCGTCAACGATTCGCCTCATTGTACGTGAGGAACTTCGTCGTCACCTTTACGCGCCCTTGAACGCCCGAGAACCACCGTGCGATACACCGTCCACAAGTATCAATGCTACGAGTTTCGAGGAGCGCAGCTATTCCAACCGCGGCCCTCAGCTAAGGGCTCCACCACCGGCGTCTTCTTATGTAGAGCCGCCTTATGCTCCCCACAGTCGTTACGGCTACAACAGCCATCCACCTCCTTTTGCGTCTCAGTGGGAACAGAGCGCCGCGTACCCTCAACATCCAGCGACGTTCCCTATGCCCCGTGAACGGCCCGTCTGCTACCAGTGCGGTGTTCGTGGACATATCGCCCGATTTTGCCCAATGCGACGTAATCCACGTTCGACATTCCCTCAGAGATCCGCGACGTTTGCACAACGAAGCCAACGGCCTGACTACACCTACTGGCCCCCCAACCCAACTGACGAGCGGCACGCCTACCAGCCGATCAACCGGAGTGATTCGCCCGGATCTGTGCGCAGCTTAACGCCGCCCACCACCCGTCCACCTCGGTCACCATCTCCACGGCGCCGGTCACGAATGTCGTCTCCGCCACCGGGAAACTAGCCAGCGCGGCCGACGGAGGTGAGGTCGCTGGACGTACCGATTTTCATCAAAGAATGCCTCCACCAGTTTCTATGCTTCAGAATAAGGTTCAGGTACTTGTTGACGACGTTCCCACGATGGCATTGATAGACACTGGCGCAAGTGTTTCCGTGATGAGTTTAGTTTTTAAGCAACGACTAGGCCGTAAGGTTATGTTTCACTGGGACAAACCTGCCACATTTCGGGCAGTGAGCGGCGCATTCTTGCGTCCTGTCGGCGTCTGCACTGCGTCTGTTAGTGTTGCCGGTAAAACGTTCAAGGCGGAATTCACAGTACTGGCTCAATCAACGCATGACGTTATACTTGGCATAGACTTTTTGCGAGAGTGTCGTGCGACCGTGGATTGTGGAGCAGGTGAGGTTCTGTTGTCTACTCTCGCCCAGCAGCCTGATTGTGAGAAAGGTAACCTCACTGTAGCTAAAGATGTACTTCTGCCAGCGTGGTCCACGGCCAGCGTACAAGTGACCACTTCGGAAACCAACTCGAGTTTGAATTCACGTGACATAGTGATTGAGCCGTTGCCTGTAGCTTGTCTCAAGAAAAACATCTTTGTACCACGATGCATTGTATCTCTCGCAGACGAGACGGCTCAATTATGGGTGATAAACAGCTCACCCGAGTCGGTTGTACTACCGGCTGGTATGCGCCTTGCCCTGTTCGAAAAGCAGAGCAGCACCTGCATTGGAGCTTTAAGCGATCTTGAAAGGGCGGGTCCGGAAACTTCTGGTATGGAAGCTGAATTTTCAAAAATGGTTAGCAAGTCCATTTCCTCACAGAAGCGCAAAGACCTGGTTGCACTGCTGGCGAGACATGCTAAAGTATTTGATTTTGCACGGAAGGTGCCTAGGGCTCAGATACCGACCACGCGCGCTCGTCACAAGATCGATACTGGCTCTGCTCATCCTCTCCGACAAAAGCCCTATCGCGTGTCCGTGTCCGAACGCAAAGTTATTGCTGAACAAGTTGGCGAGATGCTAGCCACTGGTGTAATTCAAGAATCGTCAAGTCCGTGGGCTGCGCCTGTTATTTTGGTAAAGAAAAAAGACGGGTCCTGGAGGTTCTGTGTTGATTATCGGCGTCTCAATTCTATAACCAAGAAGGACGTGTACCCCCTCCCCCGCATTGATGACGTAATTGACTGCCTTCATTCAGCTTCCTACTTTTCTTCGGTAGACTTGCGATCCGGGTATTGGCAGATTCCCATGGATCCAGTTGATAAAGAGAAGACGGCTTTTGTAACGCCAGACGGTCTATTTGAATTTAATGTTATGCCGTTCGGCTTGTGTAATGCTCCGGCAACATTTGAACGCTATATGGATACCGTCTTGAGAGGCCTTAAATGGGAAATTTGTTTATGTTACCTGGACGATGTGGTTATTTTTGGACGAACTTTTGAAGAACATAATCATCGCCTTGACGTTGTTCTAACATGTTTGGAGAAAGCCGCCTTGACACTGAACTCAAAAAAATGTCGTTTCGGCGAACGGCAAACACTGGTTTTAGGACACCTTGTGGACAAAGCTGGTGTTAGACCGGACCCGCAGAAAGTGGACGCCGTCAGCAAGTTTAAGCAGCCACAGTCTATCCGCGAGCTACGAAGCTTTCTGGGCCTATGCTCTTATTTTCGCCGCTTTGTACCTAATTTTGCTGAAAAGGCCCAGCCACTGACTGACTTGCTGCGCAAGGACGTCCCTTTCCACTGGACACCAAATTGTGAGTCAGCGTTTAAGCAACTAAAGTTCGCTCTCACTTCCGGGCCAATACTATGCCACTTCGATCCCTCTGCTTCCACGGAAATCCACACCGATGCCAGTGGAGTTGGTCTCGGCGCGGTGCTTATTCAACGACACAACAATGCTGAACACGTCGTCGCCTATGCAAGCCGGTCCCTGAGCAAGGCAGAGCGTAATTATACGGTTACCGAATCGGAGTGCCTCGCCGTCGTTTTCGCCGTACACAAGTTTCGCCCCTACATCTACGGTCGTCGTTTCTCAGTTATCACGGATCATCACTCTCTTTGCTGGTTGGTGAGCCTACGTGATCCATCTGGTCGACTTGCGCGATGGGCCATACGGTTACAAGAATTTGACTTCACGGTCCGCTACAAGAGCGGTAATCGCCACGCAGACGCTGACTGCCTGTCACGGCTTCCTCTACCAACGACCGAGTGTGAAGCTGATAATTTTGACGATTTTATCACAGCTATTGACTCTCATTTTCCTGACATCGCGGCTTTCCGGACAGCACAGCACGAGGATCATTGCTTAGATCACCTGTTTGCCTCCGCGAATGACCCGGCCAGTTCAAGCTCTTTTGTAGTCCATGACGCCGTCCTTTACAAGAAGAATTATTCTGGCCAAGGCGCCCGTCTGCTTCTGGTAGTTCCACGCACTCTACCATTTCCTGTAAATAAACGCGTTCCTTCGTCACAATATTGTTGTATGAAGTGTTGTCAATCCACCCTCGTTAGAAAAACAAACAGAAAGCTGCAATGGCCCCACCTAAAGCGCTAATGACCCTGCACTGTCCACTTTATCTGTACAGGAGTGTCCATTTTTAATTTTACTGAGATTAATTAGAGCCCTTCCAAACGTATAAAAACCACTAAATCAAATATGTTTTGCTGAAAGAACTTTCGCGTCATTTCTACTTATTGCTCATGTCGTCTGGCTTGTGTGAGAGCTTCTTTCAGGACGTATTCATTGTTAACGCGCGCGGAATTCAACCACCAAGTATTTTCATTCCACTTTCCCATGTTTCGCTGTGCCTGGTTTGAATGCTCCTCAGACATGCTTACTTTAGCTTAATTCTTCGTGGTTTCTCTAAATGCAACTTAATTTTTTGATATACTTTAAATCAAAGTTTTTTATTGCCCACAAATAAACACACTAAGAAAGACACGCTTCATTTCCCAGAGTGCTTACTAGGTGCTTAAGTCATGACGAATACCCGAGACCATTGTATTCATAGCCCACAGTAAACTCCAGCACTGTACATAGGAAGACTGTAACGTGGTCGTGGTGGACTGGCGGGGTGGCTCACAAAGTTCCAACTACATCCGTTCTGCTGGCAACACAGCTCTGGTCGGCCGCGAGGGATCGCTCTTGCTCCAGCAACTGCTGTCCGTGTACCAACGCACGTTGAGCCCCGACGATGTGCACGTCATAGGCCACAGCCTGGGAGGCCAGGTTTCTGGTTTCCTTGGTCGCCACTTCTTCAACCAGACTGGTGTTCTCCTGGGGAGGATCACCGGTGAGTGAGTCTTGGCCTCTTAAATAGAAAAGCTGACACGCACATATTCAAGGGTACACGGAAATAAAAGAAGCTGTCTTTGTCAAACACCTTTTATGCACTGTGTGAATATTCAGTATACTTTGCGGATCAAAGTAAAGGTGAGAGCTGCTGCACTATAATGTAAAAATATTCCACTACAATTCTCTTCTACTCTTTCGAGGTCACAGTTAGGTCACCGGTGATGCCAGCTTAGTAGGGTACTCGCAATTTTTTGCGGAAAAGCACGGTATAAATAGACCAGCATGACACCGTCTCATAATTTTTTCTTGAGAAGCTGAAGAAAGCCTCGGTGCGTTCGTCGATCTGGGCAGAATTTTAACGAGAGGAGCTCGCACAGCAAAAACAAATCGCCGCGCGTCGTGGGTTGCGCCGGCTCCTCCCGATTGGTTCACTCTATTTATTTTGCGGTGCTTTATTGGCTTGCAACGGGTGTCAAGTCGCCAGCAAGAACAACTTGGCCGAGCGATTCTGCGCAAATTAATTCATTGTCACTGATATCTACGTGCACAGCAAGCTGTTGTGCCGCTAACGTGGACGGTTCTTTGCCGACTCGCGTTGTTGCAGCAACAGAAAAATTACAGAATGTAGCAGAGAGACAATTTTTTGTGCTCTTTTTATTGATGTTATTGTACCGACTCACGCAGCTAGGCACCCTTTCAAGGAAAAGTTAGAAAATGCTTACTGTTAACGAGTTTGTATATCGGGCAGGCTCGGGTAAAAAAATTTGTATTCAGAGTATGTAGATGCGAAATGATAGCGTCTGCAGGAAGCGACCGGGGCGTTTTGTAAGCAACACTCACGAGCTGCAGTAAACCAGTGATTCATTTGAAGCCTCTCGTGATGACGTCAGTGGAGACCTTGGTCCCATAATTCTGTTTTCAGTGAAGAAGCTTTGGCATGCAGTTGAGAGCCATACGCCTTAGGACACTGGAATACTACCAGACAAGCATGTGCAAGGTCTGTTTTGCTGATACAAACTCCCAATTTAAGAGCATTCGTGAGGAACAGGCCAAAATGCGCCGATGAAGAGAAGCTCATAAAGCCACGACATGGTAAAGTGGACGAAATGTAATGCTGTCACCGAAATCTGGTTGTGGAGTTGGCAATTAGACGATGTCCTGGCTGTTCTCAAAAGTCTCTCATGGAATGTTCCCCGTGCCTGTGGCAAGTTGAGGTGACAGAACGTGAACGATTGGTTAGGAGCTTACTGACTGGTGAACTGAGATTTTGAGCGCAAATTTGCAAGCGTAGTGGCAGTCGCTGACGTCACATACAATATACTTTGTTCTCATTAGATGCAGTCAAATTGGTTTCTACAGCTGCTGAATTGAGCTCCCTCTGTCCCTTGAGTGAACATGTAGGCAGCCATTTGGCCTATAGACATAAAAGATATCAGGCTGTCTGTTTTATAGCCACTTACAGCCTTCCCCCGTACAACTTTCCCGCCTTGCTTGCGATGTGGGCATAGGGTGGCAAGCTCACTCATTAGTCAACTCACCCCGTCTCATACTGAAATGAGCCTGTGACTCTGAGTGAGTTTGGTCTTCTAATACTATTTCTTCAAAATTATGCATGGAAAATGAGGTAGGTCAGGTATTGTGATAGCTTACTATGCCATTCACGAACATGATCGTAGTATTTAAGGAACAAACAAAACAAGAGATCCTAACTATAACAAAGGCTCCCCTTAAGCAGTTGGTTCTGCGAGAATTTCGAAGAATGACAGTGACTCCAAAACAACCGCAGGCATGTTCTAATGGGATAGCTCTTGACGTCGACATAGGCTTGGTTGGTTGTGAGCGAAAAATTATTATCTTGTCCGTGACCAAAACTTTGAGAAAGATGCAGGTAAAAAACGTCCAGATCAGAGTGAGGATCAAATCCAGCCCGTTATGTGAAAAACAGGTGTTCTTCCACACGGCCATGCATCTGCTCAAGAAAAAAAAATGAGGGACCCTTAAGCCTTTAAGAGTTGAACGTGACAGCAATATTCTCTCCCGAGTGCATACTTCAAACGCTTAGTGCATGAAATGTTTTTTAACTTGCTATGCACCCACTTTCTGGCCCAAAGTCAATAGGCGCAGTAACGTGTCTGCCCGATGTAGTGGGTGACCGACTTTAAACCATGAAGTCATAATAATAATTACATGTTCTGATGCCTGATGGCATTGTACGCCTCTACTTTGATATTATTACTGCTATATTTCATGCTATATTGTGAATCATGTATACAGGACGCGTGTGTTCGTAAAGAAAGTTACTTTCACTGTATTTCTAAGCATAGGAAGGTATTTTCACTGTATTCGCAAGTAAACGCGTGGCTGTGTGGTAGACCACCCGCGTGCTATGCGTACGACCCGGGTTCGGTCCCCACTGCGACCGAGAATTTTTTTTATTGCTTTTATTGCAACTTTCTCGATCTTTAGTCACGCAGAAAATGATAATTTTTCGCTTAGCTTACAACCAACGACGCCGACGCCAACGCAGGATTTTCCGCGAAACAAGCGTTTTCACTCTGTCACATTAATACAATGAAAATAAATTCCTGTGTTTAGAAATGCCGTGAAAATAACGTTCATTCTTTACAAACACACGTGTCTTGTATACAGACTTTCATATTACAACATGTAGGATCGCAGTAATATTCGGTAGTACAAGCGCGCATCGTTATCGAGCGTGAAAACATGTGATTATAATAACAAACAACTTCATAGTTCAAAGCTGGCCACGCAATACGAAAAGCTCACACGTACAGGGCTGATCAAAAGTTTTCAGGCCACTATCTGATGTAGTTCTAGGTCAGTGTGGCCTGGAAACTTCATAACGCCCCCCCCCCCCCCCCCCCCATTATGTTAGGGCTCATGTGCCCATACACTACGTAGTGGGTTCATGGCAAGTTCAAAAAAATTTTCACAGCATAATTGCTCCTAGTTCAAAGTATGCTACCCATTACATAGAATGCAGCCATATGTGACAGCTTTACTTGCACAACCCATTCTCAACTTTATCGATTACATTGTGCTTATCCACGATTCTCGAGTAACATCTCACAATAAAAAGTACGCACGAAGTGGTTGAAGTACGCACTAAGGACGAGATATTTCTATTGCGTTCAACTCTTAAACGCGGAGCTTGAAGATCTACGAATTTTTAATACTATATACTCAAAATTATGCATGAAAAACACGGCAGTTGAGGTAATGATATAGGTGGCTACATAGCCGGAGAGTACGAGGGGTAAGGGCTAATGGCTCCAGATTCTCCCCCTTCTCTCCCATAAAGCCCCCTATGGAGGCTTTATGGTGGATAGAGCCCCCCCAAGTGCTAACCCGGGATATTTTTTTGTAGCTTGTCTTAGTTCCCTGTGCTTTGAAAAAGGGCTGTTAGGTACTCTGTCTGGCAGCTATTTCACATGGGGCTGTCATGCACTCTTGTTTTTCATTTTAGTCTTTTAAAATAGGTATAATGTAATGATGTCAGTTACCTCACTTAAAATGCCCTGAAATGTACTTGTATGTGGCGAAGACGTTGTGTTGACAAACAACTGAAGCGGCCTCTTAAGCTTTGACTACATAGTCCTGAACCACGTAGTGACTGGTTTTCAGGACACAAAAGTGCTGCTGTGAACACAGAGAAATCTATAAGCAATAAGTCTGACAATCCTTTATCTAACATGGACTTGCTCACCAGGAAGTAATTTCCGGGTTTTCTACTAATTCGAACCTTCGACATTGATGTCTAGGAATGTGCTGCGAAAAGATGCCATAAATTTTTTATATATATTTCTCAGTGGAAGGTAACTGACAACTAGCTGTGAGTGAGTGAGTGACAACTTTTATTCATCGAAAGAGTGAGGAATGAGGGAGGCTAAGCCAAGTAGGCTGCCAGGCCGTGCCTCTCGATCACGACTTGCGCTCGTTCAAGGATATATGTTAGGATGTCCCTGTCGGTGCTGCAAAGAAGAACCTCCCATTTTTCCTCGGTAGGGTGTGGGTGGAAGAGGTCAGGTAGTGGCCACTTGTGAATGAAAAGCTACTCTAACACTCCCCCAGAAAACAATTTTCGGCGTGAAATTGCAGAGCTCTAGCTTCGCAAACGGTACATTGTCGTATAAATTAGAATTTTCCGCTGTGTGAGAATTATTATTGGCCATCTTATATACAATAAATTAGCGGGCGTAAGTAAAATGCCCAGGGTCATCATTGACCCCTTCTCTTCTAACTGGTGCATGGTTTTACTCTATAAGTAGATGAAGAGTAAAATGGCGGTAAATACGTGATTAAGATATGACACCGACCCATGTCTGTGTCTTCGTCTAGTCCAGTCTTTAGCGCTATTTTATTCTTCGTAGACAGTGCACTAACACGTCAACAAGTAAAACACGTCAATGAAACACTGCGGCCAATTCCACGCGTTATTTGAAACGATTTCTTGTCATGCAATCAGCGCATAGCAGCCTATGTGGTCTTTCTCGCTTTCAGCCAACCGTTACATTGTAGATCGACGTTTTCGTAAATTGAAAAATACGCCTGCAGTCTCCCACTAGATATATTCATAACGATATTGTGGTGTTGGCCGGCATCTAAGAGACTAAGGCAGTACCACATTCTTTAGTTTGGGAGTTGGACTCTCTCTCAATATATATATAGATATAGATATATATTGAGCGAGAGATAGCATTGTGGATGAGTGATTTGGGCCCGCTGTTCCGGGAAATTGAAACCTCTCCACCTATGAACGTTTTGTTGAGTCTGAGTGATCTCCAGTTTTTTGCCGACTGAAAGGGATGTCGGTAACCGTTAGTGTGTAATATGTTGAATTAGAAACTATAGCACAATGTGGAGAATATTAATGCGTGCAATTTCATAATAACAAGGCGAAGCAACTGCTTCAGTCTCAGACAAAAAACTGCGGGAAACAAACTAAAAAAATCGCAGCATATGCAGGGAGTGGCTGATGATGAGTGGTTGAAGCTCTGGAGTTGCATCGGTAAACCTTGAAGTCTCCGTAAATCTTGCCCAGCCGATCGTCCTTTAAAGACATGACAAACACTTTGTGCGTGTTTCACCACCGCTTCGTTGGCGCTCAGCTCAGGATCGTCTTACTAGCGCTTCCGCACATGTTCGATTTCGCTGGCTCTCACTGCAGTGCATGCTGCCGCCACTTGCCGAGCCCTCCACTTATACTCGAAGCACACTGACTGCCGGCGAAAAAGAAAGCGTGTCAAGAGCAAACGCATTTTATAGCCACGTCTTTCGCGGTCTCTTATCACACCAGAACACGCATCGGAGTGAAGCGAGCGCCGCAGCATCACCTAGTGAGAGGCCAAGTACTAGTGGTGCAAGCGCCACAGTGCTATCGCGATCCCAACTAGTGAGCATGCCGTCTACTAGCGGTGCTAGGGCCTCAGCGCCATCGCCATAGCGGTGGATACGGCGGACAACAACGGCAGACTAGCCTACGCCTTGTTTTCCACCTCGGGCAATCTCTCGATATGTGTCCGTTTTCGTTGCAGTTCAGGCATCGCTGCATTCAAGATGGCTTCTTGAATGGGAAAGATAGCGCAGCACTTGACTTTTTCTGTTCCAATTCGTTTGCTTGGAAGTCTGTGTGTCTCGGCTCCGTCACGTCTGCCGTGCCATTGATCGTCGGCAGTCGAGCATTGTAGCTCTGTCAATAAGCTCAAGAACGCAGTCGCAACGCTGCGATGCCAGAGGACTCGCCCGTTAAGCTCCTTTAAAGCCTGCCAATATGAGAAAGATTCTGTCCTTGGTGTTCATGTATTACGGCGCTTTTTCCAGTATCGCGTTTTTTGAGTAAAGTACTCAGTAATGGATTCTTGCCGCTGTAGCATGCGTTTTGCTTGAAAGACCCGAATTCTTGCATTGTCATTTTTGTTTGAAGCGTTGAGAAATTGCTCGCTTCCACGTATCCAAATTTGCCATTAGTTTTCAATACCTTAAGTGCCAGCCGCGTGCAGGACTTCGTAAGCGGGTGATGGTGTTCACAAGTGTCAGCGACGGTGACCAGTGAGCGAGTGAGGCTATTCGTAAAGAAGGCAAGTTAAAGATTTTTAAGCGAACTGTATTAAAAGCAAAGGTTACATGTCGTTCTCCTGCTGCCTCGCGATCCGTCCCAGTTCGTACCTCGAAGTTGACTGCGTTGACAGGCATTTCCGGCCTGACTCCACGGCCGAGAGGGGCTTTCTTCACTCCATGGGGGGCCACACCACTGCAGGAGCGCGACGGCTGTATTCTTTGCAGTCACTCGCAGAAAACGCGTGAGTTCGGACGTATCGAATTTTAACGGCACGTTTTACAGGGCCGAAAAGCCATAAACACTGCCCGAAGGACAGTTCGGACTCACAAGGACACACACGCACATGGAGCGGCCGTGCTCCAACACTGACAATGGCATTCCACTGACTTTTCAGTAATTGCTCTGAAGCAGCAATTGCTTCATTAGTCGGGGCAAAATTCATAAGCTTTGGCTTTGTATGAGCTCTCGTTTGTCCGAAGGTAGACCTCCTAATGTTAAGGGCAATGTATTTTTGTGAGCATCATTTCCCTTATTATACTATCAGGTGTGTCGGCCAGCAAGCGTGTCCACATTTCATTAGAGGGCCATTCTTTTTTCCCTTTCCTACTCACAGTACCCAGCCAAACGTCGATTCGCGGTAAGCCCAAATGAAACTGTGGCGTCCATTGAAAGTATTTCGTGGCTGCGTTCTCTAAAGCAATGCGATGCTACTGTTCGCTGTTGTATTTTTATAGGCTAAGGTGTATAAACTGTAGTCGTTAATTCTCATTTATTCTCTGTAAAGCATTGTCATTTCTTAAATAACGATGACCCTAACGACGGCTTATTCAAAGCAATGCGGATTTTAATATATATATAACGAATCAAGACGAGGGAGGTAGAAAACGATTAACAATTTTACTATGTCGCATGAAGTTAAAGAATATGAATAAATGTTTGTCTTTAAGTTCTCAATGTTGTTTCACTTTCAATACATACGTATTTGCCGTCTCCCTTTTATTGTGAGCGTGTTGAAATTTAGACGAATGCACTTCTGTATGTTGCGGCAAAGTATACGTGCTCGTGAATATCAGGCGAAGCATTATTGATCTTACAGGTTTGTTATAAAACTAATTCTCCTCTTATCTAACCTTCGAAGCTCTGGATGCCGCTGCCCCACTGTTTGAAGACACCGACGTGTTCCTGTCCCACCGCGACGCCCAATTTGTAGACGCCATTCACACAAGCGCCGGAGGAAAAGTTATCAAGGGCGAGTTCGGGGTCCTCAAGCCATTTGGCCACGTGGACTTCTACCCAAACGGCGGCCAGAAGCAGCCCGGATGTCCGGCGCTAGGTCAGTATGGTTATCTTTGTTATGTGCTGCAACTCTTGGTAGCAGAAATATTGTTAGGAGAGTACCTAGTAGGGTTCTTAACTGGGTTAGTTCGTTTGCATTCATTACAGAAAAAATAGTAACACACCCGACAGAACGACTTAAACAGACGGGAAAATGCGCTGAGTACGAGAGACGAAAGGAGCAAGAGGGCATAGTGCAGAATAATTGAGCTGCACAAGGTGGACTAGATCATTGCTCGGCCAGGCGAGCAACACCGCCTTGTTGGTTTTACTCGTCTCATCGTCCATGCTTTTTCACCATTTTGAGCGATACGATACAATTTAGTATGATACATTAGGAGTGATAATTTCTATAGATGCCTATTATTTTCAGTTTAACCAAATTCAATACCTTAGAGAATCATAAAGCACACCTAATAATAATAAAGCTATAATGATGTTTAAAAGTATCAAGATTTACTTCCATATAGTGAGTATTCTGTTATGGATTTACTTTAATTTACTGCACTTGGTAGCAATGTTGTCCTGCACCACCACCACCTCTGGCATCCGTCACACTTATCGCATCTACCGACAAAATATAAACAGGGTGGTCGAAAGAACCCCCTAATGAGATTGTTATAACTTTCTGATCACTGTTCTAATTGCACTTTGCGATGATTGAGTAACTGTAGTGCAGTCGGGTATACACAGCAAACGAACATTGGGCGAAGTTGACATTGCTTTGGCAAATTTTGTCTTGACAGTTTTACGTCATTGTCACCTATAGAAGCCATAGCGAAGTGACCTTTTTTATTGATACGCCTTGCACAATATTTCTAGCGTATGTATTTATGTCAAAATACTCACGATGGCAGTGTAGCTGTGCTAACACCTCCGGTAGATGTTTCTTGAAGAATAAGTGGAAATCAACCGGGAACAGAAGGAAGCATTTCCTAGCTCTTCCTCTATTTTTTTATAGCTCGCTCTTAAACATCGCAAAATAGGGTGACAGATATACGCAAACAAATTTTATTTGTCGAGAAAGTCTAGTAATAAACCATGATATTATGTTCCCTAGATCTAACCATCAATGCCGAATGCTCGGGCGAGGTATGGGTCCTGTTATATGGAAGCGGTAAAAGTGGCTAAGTTGCATGTCTGGGCAAATGCGCAGTATACTTGTGCCACTTTCAGCTCTTAGATTGTGGCATCACAGAAAAGACTCGATTCACCATTTTTGTTGACACTTTTTCTTGAGAGCATACAGTTATGACATCACAGCCGTGTACTATGGTTTTATTTACCTTACGCAGAGAGAAATATTGAAGTAGAGAAACCCTGATATGCTATGTGCGGACTACATATCTTTTTCTAGCGGAAAATGCAACTGCTACACAAAACTGGTCAATCCTTGTCGTCATGAAGCAAGGCTTCTATACCTCAATCTTAACATGAAACATGAACTCAATATTTAGAGACAATTTTAATTAATTGTTGAGTGCTAACGTAATATAGAACCAGTGACAAGCCACTCCCATAGTCAAGCTTTATAGTTGTGTCTAAAGATATGTAAAATTTACGAAAGGCATGTACAAGCGTCTACAAAACGGTGTCAAAATGAATTCAAAGCTTAACAATAAAATGCGTAACTCTTTGGGATTACAATAAATGTAAGATTGTGCGCAGAACTTGGAAAGAACTAATCTTAAGGATTATGACGCCTATGAATGCAATTTTCCAAATATTGTTTTTTTTTTGGGGGGGGGGGGGTCTGAATTACAACCAAAGGGCAGTGCGTTCCCCCACTGGCATTGGGGGCCCACGACAAACCCATGAATGAGGTTGTGCGAGGCGTTATGTGCACGACTTCAATTGCAGGGAGAGAAGGAAGCGCACAGCAAAATAGTTTTGCTAAAACACGTAGTAAGAGACAAAAAGTTAAGGGACTCTTCTTGTGCATTAATCTATAAAGCGTGTACATAAAGCAAAAAAAAAGACCAAGATAGTTGGTGACCAGTTACAAGTATAATCAAAACTGCCAACAGTTTACGAGGTGCCAATTAAAGTTAGAGGGACAAACGCCGCAAATTCGACACTAAGGATGGAATGAATATCATGAATATTTAAAAACATTGCAAATAGAAAAAGTCAAAGTGAACATTTGTATTATAACAGAAGGGTCAGCGCTTTGCGTGTTGAAGACTGAGCTGCGCTTCAGAGAAACAATATATACCGTAAAAATATTTACAAAAACAAAGAGTGTGTTTGTGCCAACAAAAGTCATAAAACTACCGGTCACATTGCGGCTCAATACCAGATTATCACAGGAACGCCAGTATGTACGCGAGGAACTGCTATTTGTAGTTGCATGTGTGGGTCTCTTGTGTCTTGGCGCCATTTAGTGCAAACAGCGCAGCATTTCCTTCAATTATGGTCAGCGCTTATGTGAACGTCGAGTATACCTTGTACTAATGCTTCGCCAGTGTCATGAAAAGAAAATGGAAGAATGAGCAACGCAGGACATGCGCTGCACTAGCAATAAGAATCTTTATTGAAGAGAGGCCATATGTACGCCAAAGTTCATCTTTGCTGAAGTAGATTCACACATGTTACGTTTTTGTGAGGTCAGCGTGTCTCTTGTGCAATGGCTCGTTTGTTTCATACTCGTCCTATAGCAGTGCCCATACATCGCTATGAAACCTCACCAACTTGGCCCCCTATCCGTTATCCTGCAGTTAACTTACGTTACTTTGTCCCATTTTGATTTTTTGCAGAATTGTACTGCGACCACAAGCTATCCAAAGACTTCTTTCTTGAGTCTCTACGCAGCCAGCGATGCCGTTTCATTTCCGAACCCTGTGGTGGTGGCCTGGATGCTCTATTGGCCGACCGCTGCACGCGGAGGGGTGACCGCGGCGAGATGGGCTACTTCGCTGACCGGGCACCTGGCCGAGGTGTACAGACGCTGGAGACCAATGATAAGGCGCCTTACTGCCGCGAGAGGCACGTGCCCAGGAACCCAGCAAGAGACGACACGCCCAGGAATACTGCAAGAGGTGACACGCCCAGGGGAGACCGTATCAGACAACGAGGTTGAAATTAGGACTCGTGATTGTACTCAACATATTCGAGAACGCTTCCGCTGTCTTAGTCACTATAACTCAGGAGCTCAGCGTTTTTCGAATACCACAATCCCCAACCTACAAAGAAAAGCTCCAACGTGTTTTCAGCTTCAAGCAACACGCAGACATCCTACAAACAACAAAAAAATGTCTCATTACCAATAATTGCCTATCTCAGCACGTGGCAAATAAACATATGGTGACATGGAATATCGGTTAAGATTTCACAACCATGTGATTTGACAAATTCCCCAAGAAAAAACAATTTCTCGCCCGCGTGCCCTTACAACAGTGCACTATTTTTTCCCAAAGCATAAAAAACTGTAACATGCAGTGCAAAAGACGACACACAAAAAAGGGAGGACACAGGACAAGCGCTTAAGGTAACAGTACCGAGCTTGCCGAATGGATTCGCAGAAGCAGTAAGCCGCTAGTGAGTAGCATTTAACGTGGTGATGGTTTGGAAACGTAACATACCGTCATTATTACTTGCATTGTCAGAAACACGCAGTTGCTTGTTCAACGGAACACAGACAACATTCTGGTTAGTAGAGTTTGTCTCACAGCCATGCTGAGACTCTAACCATGTGTAATCTACTGCACTCGGGCGTTTCAGGTTTAAACAGTGGTATGGAAATATGAACATTGAAAAAAATACACACGTACACTTTTCGAACCATGGCAATTGCGAAAATTTGTCGAACAACTACGTTAGGAAGGTAACGATGAAATACAGCAAACGTTAGCAGAGAAACATGAATTGTGGCTGTAACTGCACGTTTCAGCACTCTAACTACTGCTGCACTTTACTATAACTACTGTGATTGCGCTTATTGCAATGTAAAAAAACTATGGTTTTATTTTGATCTAGCTGAAGTATATAATAAATTAAATACAATCTAACGGAGTTACGAGCTTGAAAAAGAGATTAGCACACGAGAGAAGAAAAAGTGCAACTGCCATTCGCGCATTAGCAGCTGATCATTCATCGTCTCTGTCACTCTCGGTGCTTTCACATCCTTCTACATCCGGTCAAACATCCTTGTCCTTAAGATGATTTCTTTTAAAGTAACAGCTGAAACAAATCTCAAAAGTTTACTTCGCCCAACGACTCCGACCACTTCGCGTCAACAAGTTCACAGTTAGAAGGACGTCTGGGTGCTGAGAACATTAGGCCGATTTTTCTCTGAAGTCATTGAACAAGCGAATTTCTTGCAACGTGTTGCCACTTATTAACGAATGTACAAAAACAAGTGGTCAAGCCTTAAAGTTATTAGAGGTTTGAGATGCATGGCACAGCAAATCGCACGCTCGTGCGACTTTCCATGTATATACTCTGTAATTAAATCCATGACTACAAAAGCACCTATGAATTCTATAAGCACGTAAAACACGATGAGTTTCAACTGCGAGGGCTGTGCGGTAATATTTAACTAGTCTACGTGGCTTCAGAACACCTCACGAAGCTGATATGTATATGGCGTGGGCTGCCATTGAAAGCGCTAGCTGCCATGCATTTTTATGAAGGCTTCGCATCTCGCCAGAATGATTTGGTTTATCGTGTCAGTGTCATGCACGGTTCTTTTGGATGTTTAGTAAGAAGAGCTCTCTATAGCTTAAACCTACGAGAGACTTAACGAAGGGACAAAGCCGTTTGTACCAAAACTCAAACAAGAAGTTTAATTGAAAAGTAAAAAGACGAAAATCCCCCATAAACGAAACAACTAATAAAAAGTTAACTGGACACAGCGAAATTCATCTATCAACACTCCACAAAGAAGTTCTAAGTGTTCAATTAAATCTAACGTCCAAATGGGGCTGAGCGGTGGAGTAGGGCAAGCTATCCGTTCGGTCTCACCGACACGCTGAATTCGGCGACGATGAGCAAACCGGAACGCGGTGATCGGGCTTCAGGACGCGGGCAGGACGGGGAAGAAGGAACGCTGGCTGCTGACGACACGGCGAGAAGCCAGACCGGAGTGTAGTGGCTCTGGCTTTAGGAGTGTGGGCCCGTCGGTGACGAGAGAACGCGGTGATTCCGGCTTCCGGACGCGGGCAGAACGGAGATGAAGGAACGCTGACTGCTGACGACACGTCGAGAAGCCAGACTGGAACGTGGTGGCTCTGGCTTTAGGAGTGTGGACCCGCCGGTGACGAGAGAACGCGGGCTGGTAGCGACGCGTCAGGGAACCAGGGTCAACCTGGCCAAGCAGCTGGGCGTACAGCTCGGGCCCGTAGCCCGACGGCTGTTGCTCGCCTGTTGGAACCAAAGTCCGCAGGCCCTGGGTAGGAGTTCAGGACAGGATGGCCATGGTCTTCTCGAGCGGGAACACGACGGCACGAGGCCCTGGCGGGTTGAAGTCCTGCAGGCTCGGGTCCGACGCCCGACGGTCCATCTTCAGCGCCCGATCCGAAGACGAACTTCCGCTTGTCCCGTCTTCTTCGAACTCCCCTTGATCTGCTCTGCTCAGGCTTCTGCTTCCGCTCCAGCCCACTTGTCTCGTCCCGATTGGAGATTCTGTACTTTCGTGGTACTCAGCCATTGGGCCTTGAAATCTCCTTAGTCTATGATCATTAGTTACCTTATCTTTCATTTTGTTCACGGGGTGCCACGCGTCCTCATGCACGCGACGTCTTCACTGCCATCGTCATCGTCGTTGTATAGGCAGCACAGCACGTGCACTCTGTTCTCTTCTGTTTTTGTGACGCGCACTTTCCAAAGGCGCACACTTCGAACGCTCACTCTACTCATCACAATTTTTTTTCCAAGAAATAAAAAACTGCCTTTGAGTGCGCGTTTCGCACTACACCACAGTTTACCCACATATATGTCCGCCACACGGTTCACTGCATTGTCCAAAGGTCCACATTCACTAACTTCTACTATTTACAAGCAACACCCTTCCGTGGTCCGCAATCAAAATCCAAAAAAAAACCACCGGAAAATTGAACCCGACGCTTAAGTTATAGCGTCCAAAACAAGACGTTTAACGACTCTAACCATTTGACAATAGTAAGGGATCGGACGCCAGTGGAAGAATTCTCGACCGTAAGCTCGTCTGAACTTAAAGCTGTGTATCACCAGGCGCCCAACTTCTAAATCACAAGCATACACGCTGGAATGCCTGTATACCAGTCGGAGGCGTTGCCTCCAGGCGCACTAGTACAACCACGCCTGAATGACTTCATCCTTTCCAGAAACGCCTTGCATGAGCTCGTAAGCCACTAATCGTTCAGACATCTTAACAGAAGCGACTTCTTCAACCGAAGATGCCAGAGAGCACCAGTCGGCGTCCTTCCTCGTACAATGATCTGCTGGACCATTACTTCCTTCTGGTACACTTTTCATCACTTCAGCTTTTTGTCTTGCTTGTTCATCAAAATTTTCAACCCTTATGCCTGTGTCATCGCGACTACCCTCATTGTCACATATAGCTGACCTACATTCCAACTCTACTCTCTGCTCTTCAACAAGTGCGTTTGCATTTTGCTCCAATATTCTCATAGAAGCATCATCTACAACTTCCCGAGAACTCAAGCCATCTCTCTGTGTGGGCAAGTTATAATCATGGTGAAAAACCATGTACGTAGCGTATGTTGCTATCTCCAGTGGCCCAAAACAATAGGAAGCAGGTACATCAGAGCTTTCGTTATGGCATTCGCCGGCATTACCTAGGAGACCTTTTACAGCTCCTTCAGTGGAGCTATTCAGAGGCAATCCTACCTCTGCATAAAGTGCGCTTGACCACTCACAGCTTTCGAAACACCCTTTACTCTGAATGGAGCGTTCTTGTTCCATGCTCACGAAGCATTCCTGCACTTCAATAAGCTTCTCGAGTCTCCTAGTCTTTTGACTGTTTACCTCCCTGTCATACTCTTTCAGAGTTTCTTTCTCTAGTGAAAGGGCATGATGAGGTACAGGGTCAGCCTCACGTAAATTCAAATCGCTCTCTATGTAACTGCTGTCAGAGCACCCCTTATCCACTGGCTGACTACTCTGGCTCTCAGACCACGTATATTCAAGGTTTTCCCTTTCAGTCTACTGCTGCAAATTCTCATATTCCAGTTCCAGCAGTCTCTTCTTTTCGCGCATCTCTATCTCGAGCAGCCTTTTCTTTTCACGCAATTCTAGCTCAAGCTGCTTCTACATAGCGCGTGTCTCTTGCTCGATCTCCTCTCTCCTAGCCCGTGTTTCTCGCTCAAACTCCTCTATCTTATCGTGTGTTTGCAATACAATCTGCTGCTTTCTAGCGTCTCATATCGCAGCCCGTTCCTCTTGCGCTTGAGCCATTTGCTTGTCGTACCACTCCTTGAATTCCGCTCCCTTGAGACCTATACTTTCCGCCAGATCTAATAATTCCAAAGTGCTTTTCATGACTTTCATCGCGTCAAAAAATCTACATGAAAAACAAACGGCTCTGTCCTGTCGCTGACACCAATTTGTCACGAAGCTGTTTAACGGGCAAGCTATCGCGTACGTTCGTGTGAAGCAAAAACCACCGATGACATAACCATCATTGAGAAAAGAGCCGACGAGACCATTTGCTTCCACCAGATCCCCAACACTCAATATATTTAGAAACCCCTAAAAGACAAACAGCAGACAAAGAACACAGCATACATAACTAGAAAGAAGTTAGCAAAAAGAACAAACGGCTGAAGACGTGGCCAGTGCATGGACATAAATGTTCAGAGGAAAATAGGCCTTGTCACGACATAGCGGGACGCGGTGCTTGCAGCGGAGACTCTGCTACCAAGGCATGGACGCACTCACGGAAACGATGACAGCGTTGATGCGGGGCTTGCAACTGATGCGGCGGAGTAACGGTGAAGACGCACTCGTGCAGCAGGGAAAGAATGGCAATTAGCTTGAGACGCTCACGTAGTTGACTGGCACGGAAGGAAGCGTCGGGCTGGTGGATTTTTACCACTTACCTCTCCAGACTAGAACACGACCATGAGTAGGGCAGACCTAGAGGAACTGGCAAGACGCATGGGTCTAAAAGGCAATGAAATGGATGCTTGGTGTGAGGAACGCGAGAGGCGCATTCAAAAAGACAGGGAGGAGGAAATGTAGTTTTAAAGAGAACTGAGAAAGAAGGAAAATGAAATTGAAATTGAGTTGCGGCTGAAACTGCCAGAGGACGAAGCCGTTCGTTTGACACCTTCATTTATTGACGCGGTTAAAATCATGTCGAATATGCGAGAGCTA